GCAGGTTTCTCCTTAGATTTGGGGTTTGGCTTATAATTTAAGTAGATCAATAATAATCTCATTTTAATAGAAGTTAAAGGTTTTTCTCTTTGGTGGAGAGACATACAAAGTCTCAATGTCGGGGAAGATGGGAGTGAGGGATGGTTGACGGAGGGATTTAGAATTAAGATTGGGGAAGGGAAAGGAGTGAGTTTTTGGTGGGATGAGTGGTGTGGGGAGGACTGCCTAGCGAATATATATCCTAGATTGTATGTATTGTCAACAGGGAAGGAAAAAGATTGCCAGCAAATGGGAGAAGACAGCAACGGTACATGGAAGTGGAACATGACATGGAGAAGGGCCCTGTTCCAGTGGGAGGAGGAGGCTGAAAAAGAGCTGCGGAAGACAATCGACAAAGTTAAAATCTCCCCAGGGTGTGCAGACAGATGGGAGTGGATACATAGCGTTGATGGACAATATTCAACGTCAACAGCTTATGCAATATTAGCAAAACAAGGGAGGGATGAAGAGGAGGAGAAAATGTCAAAGAGAGTATGGAATCCGACCATCCCATCGAAAGTAGCTGCTTTCAACTGGAAGGTACTAATGGATAGAATCCCAACTAGAATTAATTTGTTCAAACGGGGAATCTTAAAAGATGTGGGAGAAAAGAAATGCATTTTGTGTAAGGAAGAGGAGGAAGACTCAAGCCATTTGTTCTTGAACTGCTTAGTTGCTCAGTGGCTGTGGAAGGCTTGTGCAAAGTGGTGGGGAATCACAATAATTTTACAAAAAGAATGCAGGCCAACATTTCAACACTTGGGGGAGTGGACCAAAAAACCTCACAAAAAGGAAGGGTGGGACTGCATATGGAATGCACTGTTATGGACGGTGTGGATGGCGCGCAACAAAATGCTTTTTGACAATGCTGAGGTAAATTTGATCAAACTTTTTGAACTTATTCAATTAAGATCTTTTGCTTGGATCAAAGCTAGGAAACCCAGGTGTTTCGCCAATCTTTCAGATTGGTTAATCAATCCTGCTTCTTGTCTTAGCAAAGTTAAGTAGGATATGTTTGAAAGAGGGAAGTATCACTGAAGGGCTTGTGATTTAGGTGCTGTGTAATGGGGGCTCATGTTGGCTTATTGAGCATTCATTGACTGAAGTGGATTCAGCTATAGTCAATGCATGATCAAGGGCTGGTGGGTCAGTGGGTGTGTTGGGTGTGGCTTGTGGACCGAAACAGGGAGTTAGATTGAGGATGTAAAGGATATCAGAATTCCCGTCACGGGTGTAGTGTCGACACTTCTTTCGGGTGTCGACACCTTGCGTTAACTTTTGATCTACATGCGTTTGGAGTATCCCTTGTATTCCGCTTATTAATTAATAATATTATGTTTGCTGTTCAAAAAAAAAAAAAATAGAAGTTAAAGGTTTTTAATTCAAGTTACATGTAAGTGGAATGAATTCAGTGATTTGGAGGATTGCCTCTTATTTTGCAATCTAAGATATAA